TATTTTTTGTCCACAGATGGTGACTTAATCTTTCTGGGAGTCAGTCTCCTCCTTTCCTATTGTGCCACATCTGTTGAATTGTCAAACCCACTGAACTATTCTATACCCACTGAACTAGCTGTTTATTTTATTTTATTTTGTTTTGCTGAGGAAGATTAGCCGTGAGCTAACATCGGTGCTGATCTTCCTCTATTTTATACGTGGAACACCACCACAGCATGGCCGCCAATGAGTGATGTAGGCCCACGCCTGGGAATCGAACCTTGGCTGCCAAAATGGAGTGCACGGAACTTAACCACTTGGCCACAGTGCTGGCCCCTGAACTAGCTGTTTGTTGGCACTAAGTTTTTCACTAAGTCCAACTAAAGTTTACTTCTTCTAAAGATCAAAGTATATGGAGAGGTGCTTAAAGATTTTCCTTGCTTTTTTTCTGGATTCTTTCACTTTCTTGATTCTATTCACAGAGCTGATTCTCAACAAGTTAACTCTCCACTGTTTTGGTACCTGGCCCCCTATACATTCTATATATGCTGACTCTAACTGGGATATATATAGCTAGAAAATTCTTTTATTTAAATCTTGTTCGTACTATAGTGTTCTTCCCTCAAAAATGTTTCCAAAGCTCTGAAACTAGAAGTTTCTTTTCTTCTAAAATTTCTTATACATATCCTTTCACTTCATTGCATCCTATCCTTCAACTACACCTTAATGACTAGCCTTTCTCCAAACTGTTAAGCACCCAAGTCCAACTTCTAGTGTCAAATTTGACTTTTTTCTTCTCTAATAATTTACCTTGTCTTATGAATTTTTTCCTTGAGTGTCTCTTACATTCATGTCCTACCACTTCAACATGCTGTAATAGAAAGTACACAACCCCTGTAGTCAAACTAACCAGGCTTGTAGCCTGACTCAGTTAATTACTAGTTGTATGACTGAATAAGTTACTTAGCCTAAGCTTTAGTTTTCTCATCTGAAGAAAAGGGATAATAATACGACAAAGAGTGGTGTAGGAATTGAAATAGTTAAAATGTATGAAAGTATCCAGCACAGCTAACAGATAGTCCACGAAACTCATTAATTTACCTCCCTTCCTCTCCTTTGCCTTTAGTTCACTTACTCTAGCTCCATATAGTAAATCCTTCCTAACTGATCTGACTCCTATTTTTCCTTTTTGTCCGTTCTACTTACCACTGAAAGTTTAACTACATAGCTCTGAACAAGTAGGTGTCTCCTGGAAGGTCTTTAGTAATTTCTCATTGCCAGTTGTAATAGGTATTAATAGCTCCATGACACTCTAAATTCAAGAAATGCCATATTTCTTTATTTTCTAAATCAAATTAAATAGGCTTGAACCCTTCTTGCCAAGTTATCAAGAAGACCAATATCACACATTTTCTGGAACTTTTCTCCTTTCCTATGATCCTACAAGAGTTCTAGGTGTGCTGCGATGTCTCACGTTGCTGTTCTGCTATTTCTTCTTGTGATCACCCAAATTTAGCTGTTAAGCGCTAGTTTTCCTCCACCTATCTGGCACTGTGGTTCCAACTGAAACAAGATTATTAGGCTTCTGCCATAAACAGTGTGACCATGCAGTGGCAGAGCAAGGAGAAATGATACTACTACTTCATGCCAAGTTTGGATATTGGAGATCCTTGCCTAGCCGTACACATGCAGCCATTTCTGTGTAAAATCCTATCATCTTGAAGATTCTGATTTCCATGCTCACTATTAAGCCAGCAATCATTTATCCTTTCCTTGGGGGATCTAACAACCTTCCTAGGGTTAGGCCCTACAGTTATTTTATTCTTGAAGTATAAAAGATACCATCCCTCTGAGACAATCAGCTTAATTACTTCCAGTTTTGTAGTAATCAATTTGGAACTTTGTTATTGGTTCCTGGTGGCACTTAAGGAAATAGGAGCCAATCTGCAGGGTTTGTTTTTACTTGGCATCAACTTCTTAGGTCTTTCATGAGTTTATAATCTAATAGGGGAGACAAATGGGTATTCAATCAGTTACACTACCAGTCAGAATCTGCCTTTAAGCTGTCTCTACTTTGAGGGCAGGCTGGATTGAACTTCACAAAGTCATAAAGAGACACAGCATTACTAAATACTGTTGATAATAATAGCTAACACTTATTGAGTGCTTATTATGTGTATTTGCCTAAGCACTTTAAAAGTGCTTCAGATAATCACATAAGGTAGATACTATTATTACCTGATTTTCAGATAAGAAAATGGAGACTTAGGTTAAGTAACTTGTCCAAGGTCAGGATCCTTGGACAGACGAAGGACTAGAATATAGATCTACTTAAAAGCCTGTGCTTTAAACCTCTACTGCTTCTCAAGAGGCAGTTAATGTACTTACAGCATTTAAAGTATTTTATTGTTTGTAAGACATTGCTTAAAATTCTTACATCTTTGTCAACAGACTTGTATAATTTTTGTTGTATAAAGAGTCAGAGTTTGTCAATTCGAATAATTTTTATTATTTTATTAATGTGTGTGCTTTTCAACCGCTAAGAATCTTGAAGAACAATGAGTTAAAAAGACCGTAAAGAATAGCAATAGGAAAAAAACTTAGATTCTGAGGATTCCTTGGGTGATAACTTATTTCTTATGACTGAAATCGTTTTGTTACTGAACCTGGTTCGTTTCTTCCCGCCACCCAGAAATCCAAAACCCTCAGATGACGAGATTGAAGCAGAGAGAGGGTTTAATCACAAGGCAACCACATGAGGAAGTGCTTCCCCAAAAATAAGGACTCAGGGGTATTTATGGGATAGGGGGCAAGGTGGTCTGAAATGTGGAGAGAGGTGATTGGAGGTGAGGAGAGATGAGGTAATTGATGATGTGCGCAAGTGTAGTCAGACTTCATGCCTCTTCATAGGACCCATGTTCACAAAATGGTGGCGTTAGCATGATCTGAGGGTGGAGTTTTTAGCCTCTTGACGTCAAAAGGTCGCCTATCGGACATCTCCATGGGCCCAGTTGATGAGTTGCTGGTCTCAACCAGCCTGAAATGGACAAAGAGCTCTAATTCCTGAAAAACAGTTTGCACACCCATTACCGTGGTGACGCAGACTTCAGGGAGATGTTATCTACAGGAGCCTCATGGGAGTCAGACAGCATATTGCCTAAGCAGCACAGTTAACAGTGGGTGGATGAAACAGCTAAAAGCTATAATCAGTAAATGCAGAAAGGAAAAAAACTTTAGTACCTAGATACTTAATCGTCAATGGCCGTTTGCCGGTTTCGGTTTTGCCTGTCTTTCAGAGACCCATCCTGTCACAGATGTGTCATCATAATTTGTTGTGACCATAAGGTAATTCCTAGATGTCACTCTTCCTTGCTAAACATTTGGTACAGGTTTTAGAAAAATAATAGATTCTGAATAAGCATTTTTTGGATCTTAAATTAATTATCAGATCAACAGAACTAAGTAGATTCACTCAACTACATAATGTTTGATTCAGTGTTCATTTAACATATATGCGTACCTACTATATCCAGCCATTGTGTGAGTTGCTGGTTTTTCAGTAGTGAATAAATCAGATGTGCCTGCCTTATGGATCTTTTATATCTCAGGGATAGACAATAAAGAAGCAAATAAATATATCATACAAATTATAATTGCTCTGAAGAAAGTAAGGTGAAATGAAGAAGATAACTCTGGTGGCAGCAAAAAGGGGTAGTTGGGGCTTTAGTCTTCTCAAAGGCCACCATCCCAATGAAACAATAATTATTCTTTGCTATGGACATTTGGCGTTCTCAATTTTATATGAAGTTTTTAAAAAGGGTTATTTTGAACACTTATCTATCTTTACTGATCTTTAATTCGATCCAGGTAAAAACACTGTGTTTTCTAAATAAGCATAGCTTCAAGACAACTTTCTAGGACCTGCCCTCCTCTATCAGATTGGCACCCCTAATAGAAATTCTGGACCTGCCACTTACTAAGCGATACAGTGATAGAAAATCAATGGAAGAGGGTAGTTGACCTAAAGGATTGGATGCTATCAGGGAATGCCTGAGTAAGTGCCATTTTAGTTGAAACCTAAAGAATAGGAAAAGTCAGCAATGCAAAGAGCCATTGTGAACTGCCCTAAAGCCATTTTGGTTGTTCATGTTAATCTTTTTAGTAGATGTGGATAGCCTTCAATAGTTCTGAGGGCTAAAGAGCTCCTCCCCAGCAACTCTATACTTGATAATATGTTACAATGAAAAACAAATCTGACCAAATTCTTTTTTTTAAGATTGGCGCCTGAGCTAACAACTATTGCCAATCTTCTCTCTTTTTTTTTTCCTGCTTTTTCTCCCCCAATCCCACCAGTACATAATTGTATATTTCAGTTGTGGGTCCTTCTAGTTGTGGCATGTGGGACACCGCCTCAGCATGGCCTAATGAGCAGTGCCATGTCCCTGCCCAGGATCCGAACCGGCGAAACCCTGGGCCGCTGAAGCCGAGTGTGTGAACTTAACCACTCAGCCACAGGGCCAGCCCCTCAAACCAAATTCTTTTACACAGAAAAACACTTCTTATAAACGGACATAAACACAGTCATGTGACCTGTTTAAAAGCTTGATAAAGTCCCAGATTTCTGTTCTTCAGGCTCCCTGAAATCACTTTGTATGAAAAGTTTATTTGAGGCTGATAGAATAAGATTCTAGCAGCAGAGTTCATATAACCTTGTAGGGGGAATCAGGTAAGAAATCTTCCAATAAGATGTAAATATACGATGGTGTATAGAATTCTAATCCTGTGGCATTGTTATTGAGCTCCCTAGATTCTTAGACTACGTTCTGAAATTTTAAAGTGCTTGTACAAATTCTGCCTGGGATAGCCAATGATCCTCACCTTCTATGTTTACGCCATTGTGTCATCCTCTTCCACACTTCACTATGGTTGGCGTGTATAACTGATAGAGTATAGTAGAAGCATATGACTTTGAGGCTATCTCATAGAAGACATTGTGGCTTCTCCTTGCTCTGTCTTAGATCACTTGTTCTGCCAGCTGCCATTGTCACGATTACACTCAAGTAGCCCTACAGAGTGCCAACATGGAGAGGAGGCTGAGGCCTCTGTCATCATGGAACTCCTGCTAACAGCTATGTGAATGAACCTTCTTGGAAGCAGATCCTCTAGCCTCATCCAAACCTTCAGATGACTCCAGCCCCTGGTCAACATTTTAACAGCAACAGCATGGGAGACCCCAGCCAGAACCATACAGCTAACCTATACCCAAATTCCTGACACATAGAAACTGTGAGGTAATAAATGTTTGTTTTTTTAAGCCACCAAATTTTTGAGCAATTTGTTATGTAGCAATAGGTGACTAATACAACACACAATCTACAAATCTTGAACACTGCTTTTTTCACAAGTGAAAAATTATTGATAATACCCATCATGCCAATGAATAAAACCTATGGCATTACTTTAGATAAAGATGGCTGAAGTACCTACAGCTTTCATTTAGACTCTAGACTTTCTTCATTTCCAAACTCTAAGTCTTTACCCTCCAAGCCAATGCTGTCCAATAGAAATATAATGTGAGCCACAGAGGTAATTTAAAATCTTCTAGTAGTTGCATTAAAAAGAAAAAGAAAGCAGTGAAATGTTTCATTTAAGCAATTTATCCAAAATATCATTTCAATATATAGTCAATATAAAAATTATGAATGAGATACTTTACATATATTTGTACTACAACTTTAAATCTGGTGTATATCTTTTGCTTACAATAAATCTCAATTTGGACTAGCTATATTTCAAGTGATTAGTAGTCACATGTGGTTAGTGGCTACTGTATTAGCAGCACAGCTCTAAACTTGAAGGTGTAGGGGACTTCTGGGTAGGAGATAATGAAGAGGTCAACAAATGCTCTCCCCTAAAAAGAATTATAAAACTGGACAAAATTTTCAAAAACAATTATTTCGGTGCTCTAGAAAAGGCAAACAAAAAATTGAGAAGCATTTATTTATGGAAAACTGCTATAACTTTAGATAAGTAAACAGTGTCTGTGACCTTTCCTGAGACCGTTCCCATCCTTTCCCTCACCAGCTTTGTCAGCATGGTAGTTTTAGCAGGATACAATTGGCCTTGAAAACAGAAGCTTTATTGCTAGAGGGGGCAGATTTGATTTGGCGCAGAAGATGAAAATCCTGGCAACGTTATCGGTAAAAGTAGCAAATTTGATAGGAAATGAAAACCTGAAACTCTGCTGGCCTTAAGTTGCAGTCTCAATAGGGATGAATGGAAGACCAGCCAAAAATTTGATGAGGAGACCTTGGAAATAAGAAGGTCATAAAAGGGCTAGATAAGCTTTCCACCCAGTCTTTGGAAGGCTGCATGAAAGCAAAGGAATTAGAAGAACCCAGCAGAAAGTGAAAACTGACACGTGCTTGAAAACAGCCTGAACTTTGAATGCACCCCGCAACCCATACACAGAGATATAAGAAGAAGGTGGAAACCAAATGGGCTTGATATGTTTGAGCACAACCTCTGCTCAATCATTGGCTGATCACTAAGCCATGCAGTCATAGGGGTGACCCCTGGGAAGCTAGGTTAAAAAAGAAATATAGTAAAAGAATGATAAGCAAACTGAGAAGACAAATTAACAGCTGTACATCATGGGGAAGACAGTTTCTGTAGATTAAGTCCAGGCAACAACAACAACCCTCAGGAAAAAAATCAAAATTCAGGGTTGCTACAATATATTATTATTTTTTTTTATTATTTTTTTATTTTTTTTTTTTTTTTTTTTTTTTTTTATTAATGTTATGATAGATTACAAGCTTGTGAGACTTCAGTTGTACATTTTTGTTAGTCATGTTGTGGGTACACCACTTCCCCCTTCGTACCCTCCCCCCACCCCCCCTTTTCCCTGGTAACCACCGATCAGATCTCCTTCTCAATATACTAATTTCCACCTATGAGTGGAGTCATATAGAGATCGTCTTTCTCTGACTGACTTATTTCGCTTAACATAATGCCCTCGAGGTCCATCCACGTTGTTGTGAATGGGCCAATTTCGTCTTTTTTTATGGCTGAGTAGTATTCCATTGTGTATATATACCACATCTTCTTTATCCAGTCATCAGTTTCTGGGCATGTAGGCTGGTTCCACGTCTTGGCTATTGTAAATAATGCTGCGATGAACATAGGGGTGCAACGGACTCTTGAGATATCTGTTATCAGGTTCTTAGGATAGATACCCAGTAATGGGATGGCTGGGTCATAGGGTATTTCTATTTTTAACTTTTTGAGAAATCTCCATACTGTTTTCCATAGTGGCTGTACCAGTTTGCATTCCCACCAACAGTGTATGAGGGCTCCTCTTTCTCCACAACCTTTCCAACATTTGTCTCTCTTGGTTTTGGATGTTTTTGCCAATCTAACGGGGCTATTAGTGATATCTTAGTGTAGTTTTGATTTGCATTTCCCTGATGATTAGCGATGATGAACATCTTTTCATGTGTCTATTGGCCATATTCATATCTTCTTTTGAGAAATGTCTGTTCATGTCCTCTGCCCATTTTTTGATCGGGTTGTTTGTTTTTTTGTTGTTAAGCAGTGTGAGTTCTTTGTATATTATGGAGATTAACCCTTTGTCGGATATGTGGCTTGTAAATATTTTTTCCCAATTAGTGAGCTGTTTTTTTGTTTCAATTCTGTTTTCCCTTGCCTTGAAGAAGCTCTTTAGTCTGATGAAGTCCCATTTGTTTATTCTTTCTATTGTTTCCCTCAACTGAGGAGTTACAGTGTCCGAAAAGATTCTTTTGAAACTGATGTCAAAGAGTGTACTGCCTATATTCTCTTCCAAAAGACTTATTGTCTCAGGCCTAATCTTTAGGTCTTTGATCCATTTTGAGTTTATTTTGGTGTGTGGTGAAAAAGAATGGTCAATTTTCAATCTTTTGCATGTGGCTGTCCAGTTTTCCCAGCACCATTTGTTGAAGAGACTTTCTTTTCTCCATTGTAGGCCCTCTGCTCCTTTGTCGAAGATTAGCTGTCCATAGATGTGTGGTTTTATCTCTGGGCTTTCAATTCTGTTCCATTGATCTGTGGACCTGTTTTTGTACCAGTACCATGCTGTTTTGATCACTGTAGCTTTGTAGTATGTTTTGAAATCGGGGATTGTGATTCCGCCGGCTTTGTTTTTCTTGCTCAGGATTGCTTTAGCAATTCGCGGTCTTTTGTTGCCCCATATGAATTTTAGGATTGTTTGTTCAATTTCTGTGAAAAATGTTCTTGGGATTCTGATTGGGATAGCATTGAATCTGTATATTGCTTTAGGTAGTATGGACATTTTAACTATGTTTATTCTTCCAATCCATGTACAAGGAATGTTTTTCCATCTCTTTATGTCATCGCCTATTTCTTTCAAGAAAGTCTTGTAGTTTTCATTGTATAGATCCTTCACTTCCTTGGTTAAGTTTATCCCAAGGTATTTTATTCTTTTCGTTGCGATTGTGAATGGGATAGAGTTCTTGAGTTCTTTTTCTGTTAGTTTATTGTTAGTGTATAGAAATGCTACTGATTTATGCACGTTAATTTTATACCCTGCTACTTTGCTGTAGTTGTTGATTATTTCTAATAGTTTTTCTGTGGATTCTTTGGGGTTTTCTATGTATAAGATCATGTCGTCTGCAAACAACGAGAGTTTTACTTCTTCGTTACCTATTTGGATTCCTTTTATTTCTTTTTCCTGCCGAATTGCTCTGGCCAGCACCTCCAGTACTATGTTGAATAGGAGTGGTGAAAGTGGGCACCCTTGTCTTGTTCCTGTCCTCAGAGGGATGGCTTTCAGCTTTTGTCCATTGAGTATGATGTTGGCTGTGGGTCTATCATATATGGCCTTTATTATGTTGAGGTACTTTCCTTCTATGCCCATTTTACTGAGGGTTTTTATCATAAATGGGTGTTGGATCTTGTCGAATGCTTTCTCTGCATCTATTGAGCTGATCATGTGGTTTTTGTTTTTCATTTTGTTGATGTAGTGTATCACGTTGATTGACTTGCGGATGTTGAACCATCCCTGTGTCCCTGGTATAAATCCCACTTGATCATGGTGTATAATCTTTTTGATGTATTGCTGTAATCGGTTTGCCAAAATTTTGTTGAGGATTTTTGCATCTATGTTCATCAGTGATATCGGCCTGTAGTTCTCCTTCTTTGTGTTGTCCTTGTCAGGTTTGGGGATCAGAGTGATGTTGGCTTCATAGAATGTGTTAGGGAGTTCTCCATCTTTCTCAATTTTCTGGAACAGTTTGAGGAGAATAGGTATTAAGTCTTCTTTGAATGTTTGGTAGAATTCTCCAGAGAAGCCGTCTGGTCCTGGACTCTTGTTTTTGGGGAGGTTTTTGATTACCGTTTCTATTTCCTTACTTGTGATTGGTCTATTCAGATTCTCCATTTCTTCCTGATTCAGTTTGGGGAGATTGTAGGAGTCTAGGAATTTGTCCATTTCTTCCAGGTTGTTCAATTTGTTGGCATATAGTTTTTCATAGTATTCTCTTATGATCTCTTGTATTTCATTGGTATCTGTTGTGATTTCTCCTCTGTCATTCCTGATTTATTAATTTGCGATTTCTCTCTTCTTTTCTTGGTGAGTCTGGCTAGGGGTTTGTCAATTTTGTTAATTCTTTACGAAGAACCAACTCTTTGTTTCATTGATCCTTTCTATTGTCTTTTTTGTTTCAATATCGTTTATTTCTGCTCTTATTTTTATTATTTCCCTCCTTCTACTGACTCTGGGCTTTGTTTGTTCTTCTTTTTCTAGTTCTGTTAGGTGTCGTTTGAGGTTGCTTACGTGAGCTTTTTCTTGTTTAGTGAGGTGAGCCTGTATTGCGATGAATTTCCCTCTTAGGACTGCTTTTGCTGCATCCCAAATGATTTGGTATGTCATGTTCTCATTTTCATTTGTCTCCAGATAATATTTGATTTCTTCTTTAATTTCCTCAATGATCCATTGTTTGTTGAGAAGCGTGTTGTTTAGTCTCCACATTTTTGCACCTTTCTCTGCTTTTTTCTTGTAGTTGATTTCTAGTTTAATAGCGTTATGATCAGAAAAGATGCTTGATATTATTTCAACTCTCTTGTATTTATTGATGTTTGCTTTGGTTCCCAAAATATGGTCAATCCTTGAGAATGTTCCATGTGCACTTGAGAAGAATGTGTAACCTGCTGTTTTTGGATGAAGTGTTCTATATATATCTATTAAGTCCATCTGGTCTAATTTTTCATTTAATTCTATTATTTCCTTGTTGATTTTCTGTCTGGATGTTCTGTCCATTGGTGTTAATGGTGTGTTGAGGTCCCCTACTATTATTGTATTGTTGTTGATGTCTTCTTTTAGTTCTATTAAGAGTTGCTTTACAAATTTTGGTGCTCCTGTGTTGGGTGCGTATATATTTATAAGTGTTATGTCTTCTTGGTGGAGAGTCCCTTTTATCATTATATACTGTCCCTCTTTATCTTTCTTTATCTGTTTTGTTTTGAAATCTACCTTGTCTGATATTAGTATAGCGACACCTGCTTTCTTTTGTTCATTATTAGCTTGGAGTATTGTTCTCCATCCCTTCACTCTGAGTCTGTGTTTG